TTTAGTCATGCCGGCCACATGACCACGGAGACGTCTTCGGACAGCGCTGGCTCTTCGGCTTTGAAACGGAGATCAGCACCGCCCCCTAGAGTCGGGAACGACTAGCATAGATGTGCAAGGGGAACCTTTACCTTTATGATTCCTTCCTATTCTGCATATATAAGTCTAAGTGTTATTGCTATCTGACATCCTAATATGTAACAGCCAAGAATCCTGGTGGCGCAGTGGTTAGAATGCAGTATTGCAGGCTGACTCTGCCGACCGTCAGCAGTTCGATCCTGACCGCCTTTGAGGTTGATTCAGCCTTCCATCCTTCCGAGGTGGATAAAATGAGGACCCAGATTGTTGGGGAAAAGATGCTGACTCCGTGTAGACCGCTTAGAGAGGGCTGTCAAACTATGGCGAAGCGGCATATAAATCTAAGGGCTATTGCTTCCTAAGTCAGAACCTTAATCCAACGACAATGATGGGCCCCTGTTGCTTCTGCTGCTGGAGCTTTGATTGGTAACTACGCCCACCTTTGTGAGCAGCTTCCTGAAGATCCCTAAGAGAGAGAGGATTCCTGAAGATCCACAAGAGAGAGAGAGGCTGCCAATCCCGATGCCCCCCAAAACAGGAGCCGATGACCCGGAGCTCAGCAAAATTTTTAAAAAACCAAACACGGAAGGTCCAAGTTCTTTATTCTGCATTAATACATTGCAATTGCTTTGACAGAGTCCGGCATGAAAATACTACAGAGGGAGCCCCCACCCCCACCCCAAAAAAGAGGCGTTTGCAACCTTAGTGCAGGTTTCCCCAAGCGAAGGCTAAATCCTTTTAACTCTTCTGTTTGTTTTGTTTCCTTAAAAAATACATTAAAGAACGTACCACACACATATTGCACTTGTCTCCAGAGTAAAAGATTGTGGGAAACAACCCCCTCCCTCCCCGCCCCCCCAAAAAAATGACGCCGCACCGAAGTCTCTTCAAAGGGACCTGCGTTTTCAACGGATAAAGCTAGTCGTTTCCTAAAAAAAGAAAAGATAAACAGTAGCGTTCGTGAAACCCCCCTCGGAAGGACCCACACAGTAATTGGACGAAAAGCAGCTAAGCGAGCTAGAACACGGGAGGAAGGATATTTTTTTGGGGGGGGGGAGTCCTGCAGGCAGGGGGGAGCCCGGCTGGGAAAACACCGCGTTTTTCCCTGGACCGCCGTTGTTGAGAAGACACCAAGGGCGAGAAACACACAGGCTGTTCAAGCGGAGGGAAGAGATGAAAAGGAGGGACGACGTTTGAACTAGTTTTACATTCAGAGGCTCGGTCCCAATGTGGGGTGGGGGGGGAAGTAACCCCTCCCAACAATAGAATGAGGATGGGTCACTCAAGGGGGGGGCACCAATCTGCACCAGGTGGCCACAAGGTGGGCTCTTGGAAGCACAGTTGGGAGCCAGACCAGCTCGGTTGACTGGCCTTCGGTCAACCTGGCAAGGAAAGGATCCCATGATCCTCCTCCGATCCACTCGTGGAATAGATCTCCAGCCAAGGGATACCTGCCTGCTCCCAGGTTTCCTACCTGTGCGGTTTAGAGGGATGCGTTGCACAAAATCAGCAGCGTCCTTGCACCGGGAGCTGCCCCCTGCAAGAAAGAATGTTGGCGCCTTAAAAGTGGGGGGTGGTCAGCAACGGAGATGACCGTGTCCGGCCCAGCGGGGTTCTTGCTAGCTCAATCCGTTCTGCTGTGAGGGGACAGGCCAGAGGTCTTCGTCCGGGGTTCAGAGAGGGAAGGAAGAGCTGGCCTGGGCTACATTCCCCTCCCCCAGATCTACCTGAGGTCCCCAAGATGGCCAGCATGGGGGGGGGGGGGCGCGCTGATGGATATCCTTGGGCTGGGGCGATCTCTTCCCCGCTCGTGAAAACTGAACGAGGGACCGATGGGAAGAAGAGGAGGCAGCAGACCGGAGGTTTCCATGCTCCGTTGGGCGTGAAACGCCTGGGGTTATGTGTGTGTGCGGGGAAGCGCTCTCCAAAGGCACCAGCCCAGCACCATGGGAACACGGATTCCTTCTCCAAGGGGCTGGAGCTGAGGAGGAAGGGAAGCAACAAGGGCCCCTTCGCCCCTCCCGGGACGTCCCATTTCTAAGCGGTTCCCGATGAGATCCGTTGGGCGTTATTTCACGGAAACGATTTCATCGCGCCGATTTTGGAGAGCCGCTCCGGGGTCCGACTGTAGCTGCCGGGGGACATCGTTATGGGGGCAACCACTTTCTCTTCTGTCAAACTGGCCCAAACTTTGCAAACATAGAGCAGAAGAGATCTAGGCCATTTGGGGTTGAAGGCCTCTTCCCCAAAATTTTATTGCAGTTAACCTACTACAACTGGGTTTTTCCCAAGCTTGGCCATTTTAAGATAGGTGGACTTCAACTCCCAGAATTCCCCCTAGCTTCTGGCTAGGGGGAATTCTGGGAGTTGAAGTCCACCCATCTTAAAAATGGCCATGATTTGAGAAATGCTGTCCTACAGCATCCATCAAATGGGCCAGCAGATCCCTGGAATGGATCCCCAGAATCTTGCTTCCCACCAAGCTAATTTTGCCGAGTGACCCCCCCCCCCTTTTCTTTTTGTTGTGCTTAAAAACATTCGAGGTTGTGCTTCAATTTTTACCCAAGTTCCAAGAGGCGGCTTCCAACCCGCCGGTGTGTCTCAAACGCTAAGCCCCGCCCCCTCCTCTTGGAACAAAGTATGTTTTTCCTAGAGAGGCCTGTCGAAGTGATGAACGAGTCAATGGTTACCGATCCTAAATATTGCTGTAATACTTCTTCTATTTCCCCCCCCCCCCCAAAGGGAAATGAAAATCAGGTCTCTAGATGAGGGGGGTCAGAAAGAATTATGGTGGGGGGCGAAGGAACCCGAAGCCCGCATTCCACACGGTGGAACCTGGGCTCTGAAGGGACTTTGGTGTCAGCCTAGACAAGAGATATGGGGTGGGGGGTTTAAAAAAAAGAAGAAAAGAACTTCAGAATTAAAAAAAGAGAGAGAGAGAAAGGGCCTTAGAAAGAACAGGGGGGGGGAAAAAAGGCACGGCACTATCACTTCACATGGGTTTTCTGATAAGCATATTCTGCTTTGTCCTTAAAACACTACACCCCTAAATAGTTGCCCAAATATGCAAAGACTAAGAACCATCACCAACGCAACACTCTTGAAGTCCAAGTGGGTTTGCTTCCTCTAAAAAAAAAAAGAAAAAGAAGGAAAAAAAATAAAATAAAGCTACCAAGGGCAGCTTAGAACAATTTGTCCAGTGATCAAGTCCTTCCCAAGCTTGCTTTGATGCTGCTTTAGCTTCAGAGTCCTGGTTCTCCTTCCTTGCTGACCTCTGGAGGACGACTTCAACGGTCCTAGGTGTTGACTCCCGAGCGGAATTTCAAGAGGGACCGATGGGAAGCTTTCGTCGGCAACCCGGGGAGTTCACAAGATGTGCAAAGTTTTGGCGTCCCCCCCCTGCAAGTCATCCGGCCAACGAAAGAAAGAAGTCCCAAGAGTTCCTGCACGTCCTCTGAAGAACATCTACACAAAGGTTCAGGAATGGTGGCCCTTTCAGGACTTGTGGACTTCCACTCCCAAAAATTCTCAGGAATTCTGGGATTTGGAAGTCCACAAGTCCTAAGGCGGCCATCGTCCCCCCACTTCTGATCTACAGCCTAACCTAACTTAGCAGACCAATTCTGAAGCATCCTACATTCCTGTCTGGCTTCCATGTCGGCCAGATTCCAAAGGGAAAAATAATAATAATAATAATAATAATGTATTGCTTTTATTGCCAAGTATGGTGTAGAGCAAATTCACTCCTCTTCCTGAATTCTCCCAGGTTTTCCTCTGACAGAGGTTGAGTGGAACACCCAAGATTTCTGGAAGGACCAGAGATCCTCCTAGAAGCGAGAAGACCTTCTCGGACGCGGGTTGCCCCCGTCCCTTCAAGAGTCGTTCTTTGTTCTGTGTGAAGGCGCAGGGCCTGCCTTCAGCCCCTCCTGGGAAGGGAAGCCCTGGCCCTTCTCCGCTAGTACCAGTTCAGAGGGTTAAGATCTTCATCCATGAAGCTCGGAGAAGCAGCCACGGAGTCCCGGTGGAAATCCGCGGCCACGGTATGACTTGAGTTCGGCCCACCGTCGTGCCCCTTCTCCAAGAAAGCTCCCGCTTAAGCGGCTAGTTGACCAAGACGTAGCCTCCGTGTTGGGGATCGACCGTCTCCATCATTTCACAGTCCAGGAGCCCTGGCAACTGGGCCAGGTTTAAGGGGTCGTAGCTGGACTGAGGCCCAGGAGGTTCCGAGCCGCCTTGGACGTTGGTCATGGCGACGCCACTCTGCTGGCTGGGGTCCAGGGGAAACTGAGGCTGGCCGGCATAGTCTAGGTCGGGGGAGAGGCCGAGCGGGCCTTCGCAAGTCGGATAGGGATAGTGCTGCTGGGATGGAGCCTGGGGGGAGCCGTGGAGGGCGGGGGGAGGCTGCAGGTCGAGCTGCAGCTTCTGATACTGGCTGAGGAAAGGGCCGTATTGCATGTCTTCGGCAGACGGAGGCTCCATGACGGGGCTCAAGGGTGGCACCAGGCTGAACTGGGAGGGAGGGAGAGGAGGAGGAGGGGGCTCCTCGTGGCAAGGGAGGGGCAGCTGGCTGGAGCGGGAGTAGGTGCCCTCGGCAATCTGCATCTGGTTGAAGTAGGTCTGCAGCTGGGACTGCTTCTGGAGGAAGAGGTGCTTCTGATACAACCTAAATCAAGGGGTGGAGAATAAGCGGGTTAGTCTGCTTTTCCCACAGGCTCTTAGCCTCTTAGAATAGAGTAGAGTAGAATAGGAATAGAACAGATTTAGAATAGGACAGGATAAAATAGGGTAGAATAGAATAAGAAATAAAGAATGAATAGAAGAGAATTCTTTATTGGCCGAATGTGATTGGACACACAAGGAATTTGCCTTTGGTGCAGAAAGACAAGATACGTTTGTCAAGAATCATAAGGTACAACACTTAATAATAGTCACAGGGTACAAATAAGCAATTAGAAAACAATGAGTATAAATTGTAAGGATACAAGCAACAGTCCTGCAGTCATAAGTGGGAGGAGGTGATAAGAAGACTAATAGTAACAGCAATGCAGCCTTAGTGAATAGTTTGACAGTGTTGTGGGAATTATTTGTTTAGCAGAGTGATGGCGTTCAGGGAAAAAATGGTCCTTGTGTCTAGTTGTCTTGGTGTGCAGTGCTCTATAGTGTCATTTTGAGGGTGGGAGTTGAAACAATTTATGTCCAGGATGAGAGGGGTCTGTAGATATTTTCTCAGCCCTCTTTTTGACTCCTGCAGTGTTGCAGACCCTCAATGGAAGGCAGGTTGGCTGTAATTGTTATTTCTGCAGTTCTGATTCTCCTCTGAAGTCTCCGTCTGTCTTGTTGGGTTGCAGAGCCAAACCAGGCAGTTATGGGGTGCAGATGACAGACACATCTCCAACCTTGGCCACTTTTAAGACTTGTAGGACTTCAACTCCCAGAATTCTCCAGCCCAGATTGGCAAGAGAATTCCATTAATTTATTACCGATGAGCCTGTACTGAGTGGGGAGGGAAGATCTGGGCTATTTAGGTAGGTTTTTCTTCCAGCACCAAAGGGAGATTCTAGTCTATTTCGGCCCTGAGTCTCTTTGAGAGTGGGCAGCATACAAATTAAACCAATCAATCAATCAAATCAATCTATTTCCAGTGGAAGAACCCGCTATTAAGGCGGGTTGTGTTCTCCTGAACCTGCACTGCTCATTCAGTCTCTGCAAATGGGGAATGGCTGGCATCCTGACACCCCCCCCCCCCCCCGAGCTCGGGGCTCACCTGTGCTCCTGCAGCTGCTGTTCCAGGCTCCGAGGGATCTCCTTGCAAAACATCTGGCAGGCGTGCTGGGCTTTGGAAAGCAGGCTGGGCTTCTTGGGAGGAAAAAGGGGAGAGAGAGAGAGCTGAGAATGGCATTTCGGAGCTGCCGTCGGAAGCCTTGGCAAGTCGGGTGGAAGGCTGAATTGGTGAGCTGGTCTAAGCCTCCCCCTCCCATCCCCCGGGCCTTCTGACTTGGAGGGGGTGGGGGAAAGCAAGGGCTTTGCAGGTAAGAGACAGGCCCTCCCCTCCTGCCCTTCCCCACTGAATGGATCTGAGAAGGAAGGACCCATTTCCGTTGGCTTGAAGGCTTTCCAGGAAGGGGAACCTACCTGAAGCCGGTGCTGTAGGTACTGCGTTTCTAAGCTCTGGCGCCTGGATAGCAACGGGGGATGGAGGCTGCCGGGGAAGTTGGAAGCCGCCTCCTGCGGCAAGGATGCCTCTTCCTTCGGGGGAAAAAGAGGGGGAGGAGGACACCTTACTAGCCAAATGATTGTTCTGACCAAAGCTTCCTTAACATGCATGAAATGGAGTCTTGGTCCTGGCAAACCCTCTTTTATTTACACGACTGGGAATTCCTTTCATTCACAGTCAGCCAGGCTTAGCAAACACGCTTTCAGAGGAGTATCTATCAACACGAACCTTATCTCGCCTGGAGAGCTACCAGATAACTAGTTTCCAAAGGCAGGACAAGACAAAACTTGGCACAGAATCTCATATAGTCACAAACAGAACTTTTCACTCTTGAGATTACCGAAGGAACAAATTGTTTCCTGCAAAAGCCCCTCCCCATTCACTCCTCTTTTGTCTCCTATGGGGAGGGGCCAATCACCTCCAAGGTGGGGCTTTACTCCCAAAGTCGACCCTGCTTTCTTAGTTGTTCTTGTTTTCTGGCAGCTCTGCGCATGCGCGCACTGGGAACAGGCTCCAGCTGTTCCTCTGCCTCACTGCTGTCTCGCTCCCTCTCTGCCTCCGACGCAGAGCCCTCGTCTGAGCTTCCCTCCCTAAAACATCTGCACTCCTTCCAAGGTAGCTTCAGGAACAGGTTTATAATGTAGGAGCTTGTGGGGGCTCCAGGGACCAACACCAACCCAGACAATGAAGTTGCTCTCTAAGAACCTACCTGCCGGGAGCTGCTTTCAAGGTCCTGGAAGTGAGGAGAAGCGGATTCCAGAGAAGGTTCGTCTTCTGACCTCATCTGGTCATACAACAACTGGACTTTGTTCAGCTCCAGGATGCCTTTGGTTCTGGCCAAGTTCTGAAGGTGTTGCCTGAAGGCTACAATTCCTGTTGTTGGGAGGTTAAAGAGCAGAGGGTCTAATGGAGATTCTCTGTCCTCCAGGTCACGGTTGTCCCAAAGGCGCATTTTTCCTTTAATATACTTTTTATTGTTTATATATCAACATATTGAATGCAGTGTAATTGTCCTGGCATTTCACTTGCCATAAAAACCAAATGACATATCTACTATTTTAAACAGTGCTAGTCATTCTAACACAATAATGCCTATATAGCAGGGGTGAAATCCAGCAGGTTCTGACAGGTTCTAGAGCAGTGTTTCTCAACCTTGGCAACTTGAAGATGTCTGGACTTCAACTCCCAGAATTCCCCAGCCAGCATTCGCTGGCT